ACCCTGCCCGCGTATAGAGTATTTTTACCTGTAAATTGACTATAACTCGTTAGTATAGTACAGATTTGGGGGACACATTTCACCCACAATCTATCCTAGCCTAGACTAATATGCTCCCAAAATTTGGCTGAAATTGGACGAAAAATAACAAAGTTGGTTTCTGAGGGGGGGCCCCCCCTTAAAGCCAAATTATCAGTGACCTATAGTACGATGCTATTAAATATTGACGATTTTTTAAACAATCACTATCATTCAAGATTAATTCTTCTAATAATTTTTCGCCGTGTGGAGGTGAAAACTTTTGATTGTTATTAGGATTGTACTCATAGAATCTTTGAATATATAGCATTGACAAATATGGTAAATGTTCAATTAATTGGTTAACAACTGGAATAAATTGTTCTACGGGATAACACAAAGTAGATGGATACAGATGGAGTTTAGTTAATCTTGGAAAGAATTTTGCGAAATTCTCAATAAAATTCACATTTCTTGACCATTGACGATAATGAACTTTATACAATTCTAAACACTTAATTCGATTGTACAATTCTACGTCAACTGAAAATTTGTTTGTTATTGATACCAATATTAAATAATTCATTTTTAATGTATGTAAATAGGGGGCGTGCAATAATATATACTTAAATACATATATCTCTTCGTTTGACCACATTTCTCCATAGTATTTCACTTCCATATTTAATTCATAGAGTGAACGAAACAAGACTGTCGAATTATTTTCTCTTTGATCAGGTGCTGACATCCTCGTCATTGACGACGATTCCTAAATAACAATAAAAAATATTTGTGACAATTATCTAAGAAATCACCGAATTAGAAAAAGACACAATTAGAGAAACACAGTACTCTTTCTCGTAGCATATCGAGAGAGGTATTAGAATTCTAACACACTAGAGTTCAGGAGGAAAATTTTGTTAAGCATATAAGTCAGTGAGGAACCATATCCCAATCGGATATATACCCCGATCGGGAAACATTTTTTTTGATATATTGGCCTATAGTTCTATAGCTCGATCGCGATATCTGGTTTTTGCCTATCCCAATTGGGATATAGTTTCCTTACAGTAGGGCTGTAGCTTCAAACCGCCCAAAACTAGTTAATGTGGCACTCGTAGTGCAAAGATGATATAGAACATAACATATCAGTCACCAGAACTTGAGTAATGAAAAAGCTTCAGCATTTTTAAAACTTTAAACTTTTGAATGTAATTTATATTATTGAAAACTTTCTTGGTAAACAATGTTGTTGACGTCGCCGCGCAGACGACGAATATTTCACTGAATGTGATGGGCAAATGCTGCCACTTCCACTGACCTTATGTATATCCAGCGTACTAGAAAATGTCAAAATATTTCGAGAAACTGTTAAAAGTAGCTAACAAAAACAGTAAAATATCCTGATACACTATAAACAAAAATGCGACTTCTAGGAGGACACATAAGCCGGATCCCAAAACCCCGCATTTTAGTGTCTCATGTGAATACACATGATGCGATTTTACCCGGTAGTCACTTAATAGTGTCTTTGACGCATTAAAGACACGTAAGTCGAATCCCATTTAGTCGTACTTTAACGCCTTTTTTCAAGTCGCTTTGACATGTCTTCTGGAAAAGACGCATAAAAAATTCTTTTTGTTTCTGTCAAGAATTGAACTCTGCCTAATCGCTTATCAGACGAATGTGCTCACCACTGAACCACAAAGGCACATTAGTTTTTAGTCTTGTTAGCCTCGTACGTTGACATTTCGTGTGAGACTTCGATTAAAAATTTGGATTTTGGAGTCACACGGAAGGCGGGATGATGTGACTACCAAATGTCTTTCTCGTTCACATGTCTTCTATGCGACTCCAATGTG